CAGAGATGTGTATAAGAGACAGGGGTGAAGCGGTGTCGGGGAGGGGAAAATGTATTCGCGAACAATGAATAACAAATACAATATTCGAGATTACTGTGTCGCGAATAAATTTTGCCCGGACACCGTAGAGAGGTGAATGTCCTTCTTGCGCGCGCGACGATAAGACACTAACGGAAACAGCGAGAAGAACAAGCGCAAGCGGATAAGCAAGTTGCTCATGTGTATATTTTTGTAAATAGATATTTGTGAGTGCCGCCGTCTTGAGGGCGGTCTACCGCCGCTGAGTTCGCGGTAGATCGGCCCGCCCCAATTTTTGCTACCACAGATCTTGTCGAGAATCGGGTAAAGAGATTACAAATAGGAAAAAAGAAACGAGGGATATGAGAGGACATAACGAATCGACACACGACGAAATGTTTTGACTTTAAGTTTCGAAAGAAGAAAAAAAAACAATGCTCTCCGCGCTTTCTTTCCTTTGAGAATTGCGGCCCGTTCGTGCGTTCACGTTCACTCTCTCGAACGATCTTCCGATCTGTCCCCGTTTTTTTACGATCGCAGATCTCAGATCGTATCGAGGAGAAAATTCTGAACGCGTCGCGGCAGCTTCGTTGTACCCCGTTGTACTCGGTTGTGTTCCGAGTTCTACCGAGTGATTTGATTCGCCTCACGTTTCAAACACGCATCTCTTCCCTCGCATTCGATCGATGAGGAATCGACCAACGAGTGGATCGCGATTTAGCAGCGGGAAATAACGGTAATCGGCAATCGCGTTCCCTGACTTTCATTTTCTCGATAAAACGCCGAATTTGATGAATCGAACCTGTCTGCGTTCTTTTTGAAATCTGGACTCCCACACGAATCGAAGAGATCCTTATCGAATCTCTGAGATTGAAACGGAAACACGATCGCGTAGTTCAATACATATCCGATCTAAATTTAATTCTCTCGAGTGAATGACGAATCATCGCTCAACCGGAGGATGCGTGACCGACAGCACTCCTCCGAGGACCGTAGGACCAATTATCATTCGCGTACAACTGTTACAATAAAATCGCATTAACGTTCCCGTTGGTTGACGTTCCGTCGGCAACGTTGGGAAAGATAAAAACGGGAAACGCAGAGGCGCGGATTGGCGGGATGACGATGGCCCATAGTTATTAAGCGCGGTCCAATGGTTCACGGGATACAATTTTATATTTCGCGAGTGTGCTAAAGAGGAGAGCGACTAAAAAGAATAAAAATAAAAGAAAAAGAGAAAAAGAAGTCTATTAAGGAGCTTCGACAATATTTTCGAGACACATATTTATAGCAGATACATATATCAGGCCCATTTTCCCGCCAGGCCGACCGTCCTTTCAAAAACAAAAACAAAAGAAAAACGCAAATTTGACAAGATTTTAAATCGCAAGTTTGGCGTAATCGTTTATCGAGGAAATGAAAATGCGGACGATGGAATTTTTTTTATCACAAGTGCATGCAAAGAATAAGTTTGTGACGAGCGAGAAAGAGATCATCGTTTTATGTAAATAATTATCGGTTCTTAGATAGATTTTCCTTTTTATGTTTTTTTTTCTTCGATAATTGCGGGCTGATGTATGTTCCTGTACGACTTCCAAAGATAAGCGAAGGGTGCTGTCGCTCCGTAAAGCAGCGGCGGATTTTAATCGGAAAGCATTCGCCTCTTTCTGGTTCTTTCGTAAGTTTTTTTTTCACTTTTTTTTTCTTTTTGATCATTTTCCCTTGATTATTTTTTTTTGCGTATGACGATCAACGTAATTTAATCGCGGAATTGCGTCGCGCAATATTTTCCGCTACAATTCTCTATTAAACTATTATTAATATCATCGTTACTGTTATTGTTAATACTGAGGATATTATTGGCGATATACGAGAACAGTTACAATCCGTAATAAGTAATAATGATAGGCAGTAGATGATAATGATAGTAACAGTAACGATGTTACTATATTTACTATGTAGTGGTTATTATATGTTTACGAATATAATTATACCGTTATCCTTTCTTTGAGATATTTTAACGAGTGAGAGGTACGCAAGTGATGACGAGGTGAAGCGATGCGCGGGGGATGGAAAACGGAGACGCGTGCGCGTGACACGCGCGCAACGAAGAAGTATGTACATTATTCCTAAACTCTCGTCGCGAAGCTGTGGGGGATTTTCGATCGGGTCAGACACAGTCGCGCGACAGATATCGCCCCTCGTATCTGTAAAGGACCTTAATAGAGAGCTTGATTAGCGCCGTTTGATTTTGGTCTTCTTAGTCCCCCTTACCCCTCCCCACACACACATACACAATAAACATACACACACATACACACACACACCCCTTCCGCCCCTACCTCACACACATCACTCCGTACTTGTAAAATATTTATATATGTATATATTATGTATGTATGTATATACGTATACATACATACAGCACACAGTACATTGCGTGTATATATATACATATACATACATGTATATATGTTGAAGAGACGAGAAACATACACACACGCAATCTTAATTACGATTATATCATATATTATTACATTATTAGTAATTATTACATTGATGATTATACGCGATAATTATTTTCCTATATTCGTACGGGACGTATTGTGTACTATCCAATTTCTCTGAATACAAAACGGGCGCGTTTCACCGCCGCTAGATTTCCCCGTCCGTCGCGATTGTGCCAAAAAAGAAAAGGGATGAAATGTTACACGCGACGTGAGTTCGCACCTTCGGACAGCCACAATTATTTTTTTGTTAAAGCAAGCCTCGCAGAGCTGTGACCGCATTATTCCTCGCATACTCTCATCGTCGGAGTCCTCCGATAATATTTTACGTAAGAAATAGGTGAGTTCCTTTAATTGTTCGTTTATTCACGACGGTATTTTTCGCGAGAGAGCTCGGTTTGAGACACCCCCGTCTGCGAATTGCTGTGAATTGTCAAATAAACCATAAATATGTAGAATAGTCGAGAAATTATTTATAATTTTATATTAATATATTACAATTATATTTATATTTATTATAATTAATTATTAATTCATCCAATTAATTAAATTTAATAAATTATTAAATTTATTTTACTTAGTTAATTGAAAAGTTTTATTCTAATATTAATATTAATATTTTATTATATTATGCGCATGTAATTACGTATTATTTATATTATATATTTTAAAATCTTCCTTTTACAGCAATTATAGCAATTATTGAAATTATTTATTTTCTACTCCGTTACATTTGACCGCGGCAAATTTTCAATCTTCAAGTCTTCTTCCGAGAAGCAGTCTGAAACCGAGCTTGTACAGAAAGCGAACCGACGTACGCGGTGTGGCTGCGGAGGAGGCGTGAGACTATAATTCGCGGACGGATGACGGACGGGCGGGCGAGCGGACAGGGCGGTTTAACGGCGGCGTATTCCGGAGTTGGCGTAGCAATCGTATGCTGTTGGTTGGTACCGAGCAATGCACAAGTAATCCGACTAATTGCGTTAACCGCGCGTTCATAACGACGATGCGACGCGACACGTATTCGCTATACGTGGACGAACTCCGCGTACGACGGCGAGGGTAGAAAACGAAAAGACATCTCCACACTTGTTCCCTCTTGCCCCTTCCGAATTATCATCTATCATCTCGCCGTAGGCTTCCAATTCGTGCCCCATCACGCGCGGCCCGTCAGCCAGTGAAACGGGAATCGATTTCTTTATTGCGATTCTCTTTTTTTTTTGGTTTGTTACATTTGCGGCAACGCTTAAAAAAAATCTACCCTCCCTTCGTGCGACGCGAAGTTTCGTCGAGCAAGCAATATACGCGACAGACGGCCGTCTCTAATTGGCATTACGACTATACGACATACACGTGTTATATATACAATGCACATACACATACGCTGACAGTTTACTGGACTTAACAAATCGTTTAGTGACGGACAAACGGAAGATAGCCGGAAGGATAGATGGGAGCGAGAAGAAGCAGGCAGAATTAATTAGAGAATTGAGAGGAGTCGGAGGACACGTGAATGAGCAAACCGCACCAAGGAGAGACCAAATTATATCGCATAATGAGATATAATTACCTATTTTTTTCGTATTTATTTTAATCGTTAATTAATTATTGTATTTATTGGCGCGGAGGCTGATACGCATATGCATAATTTCTGGGAGACACGTTAATCACACGGAAAACACACACACACGCACGCGTACGAATGTGTCTAGGTCGAGTTACCGTCATCCTAGATCGTCCGAAATTGTTTAGAAGTCTTTCAATTATCATGCAAAAGAAGCTTTGACGTTTAAGTCCCGTCGAGCAAAACGGCTCGAGTGCGGAAAACGACCGAAGAGATCGCCTCGCGTTTGAAGCATCCCGACCGAATCTCTTCTATTTTCTTTCCGTCTCTTTTCTTTATGCAGTAGAGGTCGATCAGCAGCGGGAAAATGCGCCAAGATTACGCGTGAAAGCAACGCGTAATTACACTAAAATATAACGATTTATGCTAAAAATTTATTAGTACGTGCAAATTCGCGTTTTACTAAGTCGTGTTGGATGTAACTGCGTTGAAAACTTGTTACTACTGACCATCAAAATTTTTTCATCATTAATTTCGATGCCGCTGCGATCGAACTTTACTTAAGCATAACTTTTAGATCATATTTGTATATAATAAAAAAAAACTTATCACATTTAATTGTGCGAACCTCTTTTAAATTTAACGTTAAACGTTGATCATCAGACGGTCGATCAACGCTTTCGGCCGTGCATTTTGTCCATCGTAGCAATACAACTTCCTCGTTAATTGCGGATTATTTATTTCGTCGTTGGTATATATATACACACACACACACACATACATGGAAAAGCAACATTTTCGACATTGTAGCGGAGGAAAGGAAGTACAAAATTTACACATAACGAACGCACGAAGTGACTTGTAATACTCCTTCGACGAATGTATCTCGTAAACGTTCCAGATGCCTCACCTTGTACACCAAGTAATCAATATAAACGCAGAATTTTAATAGTTACACTATTCCATACCCTTTTATTACTCACGTTGCCAAAAATGAAAAAAAAAAAAAAGAAAAAAGAACTCCGTGCGAATTGACGTTGTAGAGCAAAAGAGAGAAGAAGGGACGATCGCGTTGAGATGAGTCGTTCTTTGTAACTCTTCTTTCTCTTTCGGTTTCCTTTCGAGAGATCTCGCCAATTTATTTTCCAATCGATCGCAACGCCGAGCCAAGGGCCTGTGGCCCCCCCCCCCCCCGGCTCCACATCCTTAATTTTGCTCCGTGTGCGTTTGATCGGCCGATGTCTTTCGTCACTTTGCGCTCACATTTCGCTTTTCTTTTCGCTCCGCGGAAACGCGCCGCGAAGAACGCGTATTTCCTCGACGAATCAGCGCAGCCTTTGATTCTTACACCATTACGCGAAGAGTGGAAGACAAAATATAAAATGATAAAACGTATCATGTGAGACAACGGCGACAGGGGAGATAAAAGACGTGGGAAGAGAAAGACCCGTGACAATATATACATATACATATATATATATATATCTATATATTTGCGAGATATTTTGTGAAACAGGGCTTTTTTACCTATTTTATAGTAATCTCAGCTTAAACGGATTGAGAGAGTGGGAGCGAGAGAGCGAGAGAAAGAGAGAGAGAGAGCCTTTACTAAAAATAATGAATTAAAGTGATGTGACGAGGATGTTGTCATGAAATGACGTATTAAAGCAGTTGATGAGCGGTCTGTAAATGCGTACATACATAGCATAAATGCCGTCATTTAATGAGGACGGTTTCACTATAACGTGTACCCTCTATTTTTGTTTATGTTTTGCGCCTTAGATTTAGCATTATTACAATTATATTCTAATTATTAATTATTTTGATTATTATATATATTATTATGTTTAAGATTCTTATTAATTATTATTATTATTATCATTGTGTATATGGTATAAATTGTAAAAAGGAACATATTTACTATATCATATTCATTTTACGGGGAACACTCCCCCGAATGAACAAATTGTTTAAACTAAAATGAAGGAATAAATAAAATATTGACCAAATTAAGGGAGCAGTTCTTTTCTACTGACAATCTCATTTATTCCTTTATTATCTTATATTTGCAAGTATATGTATATATATATATATATATATATATATAAATCCTGTGTCTATCGATATGTACATATAAGATATGTACATCGATAGACACAGGATTTTTCAGACCGCGTTTTCTTCGAGATCCGTTGATTGTAAATATTCATATTTTATTAACGATTATTATATTATAATTTTTTTCTGGTACAAAACCGGTATCTTTAAACATCAGGATAGAATTACCGAAATCAAAGGTAAGATGTAAGAGACAACAGCAATAAATTCGCTTATATTATATTGTTACCTGGTATGTCATCGCCTATTTTTTTGTTTTTCACTTAATCATATTTCAAAGATATTCTAAATTAAATTAAATATTTTGTGTGCATGACTTAAATTTGTATCTATGTATATATTATATTTACATAGACAAGAACGTGCATCATATAACTCGTCGGCGTGTTTATCGTTTTCAAACTTGAAGTATATATAGGCAAGAGACATCGGTAAGTAAAAAGAAAGAAAACAAAGTAAATATGTATTCATAAAAAAAGAGCTATTAGTACAGAAAAAGACAAAGTCATAAGTAGGCCCACATTCGGAAAGCGCTTATAACAATGTTAGCGCGCTAACAAGTCTTGAAATTTTGTAATACATGTAAACTTTTCCTCAGAGGCAGGCAAAAGTTGTTTATTAAAATAATTAAAAGTATCTTATTAAAATTCAAATCATCATGAAACGAAAAAATATACTTGGCGGAAGCCGCTGCCGCGTCTCCTGATGCACACTCTCGAAAAGTAAATTTCCATTATATTGGTGTAAGCCGTAACCCAATATAATGAAAATTCTATATAATGGAAATTCATGTTATAATAATATCTAGATTATATCTAGATATAATCTAGATATAATCTAGATATTATTATAACATGAATTTCTCTTACAATTTTGCAACATCTCTATAATTTCTATAATATTTCTGATTTTGAACGAAGCTTGACAACTTTATTACGAGTGCAATTGATACAGTTTGCTGCGATATAGCAATCACTCAAGCCCATCTGAAATATTGCATTGTTTAAAAGCATGCTTTATCATAATGAACAATGCCTACTTTTGAAGATCAATTTCGCCTCTTTTTCATTATAGATAATAATAGAACGATATATCACACTATATAATTAATAGCAGCCAAATATTTCGCAGGATTGCAGTTTACGCACATTTCGTTATCTTTTTCGCGCAAGAGTTAATCTATGAAAGAAAGGCGTCAAGTAAATCCTACATAAAATCAATTTTTTAGTTACAATCTAACATTTTCGAGATTTTATTGTTTATTCCAACTTCTTGTTTCTTTCCCATATTTTTTTTGTTTGCCATTCGGTTCCCCGATTTGAAAGCAGATCGACTGACTGTCAATTCTAATATGAAGACTATAGTGGCGCAAATGTATCCTGCTATGAGAAAGTAAAAGCTGAACGTAAGCTGCTTCAGCACCATCACCTTGAAGCCTTTCTTCTTTTCGGCGTTTCTATATCTCTCGCGCCGTATCTCCTGGAGAAAATCGGTTCGCGATTTGAGGATCAAGCCGGCCTGCATCATCTGTTGAATAATGTCGTCCACCCGTTTGTATAAGGGCCAATCTTCGCGGGTGACATACGATTGCGTCAATTCGATCAGTGTCTTCGATCTGATAAGGTCTTGACCCTTGATCCTGTAGTACAAATGGTGGCAGTCCCCCAAGCACGCAGCGTTCGTCGAATTCTCAACGAATTCCTTGCACTCTTCATACGTGACCGCCACGTAGCGCGACTCCAATACTGGATCGTTTAGCATGAATTTCAGCTGATGCGGCCCGTATATAGTGTATCCGGATGACTGTAAGAAAAAATCAACAAAAATAATTAAATGTATCACATATATTATTCATAAATCCGTATTATAAATTAGCGACGCCTCTCTGTCAAGTATCAACTTTATTTTGAGATCAAGCCAGTTTGTCTTAGATTTGCGTGAAAGTAATTTTTGTGATAAATAAAACTCAAAACAAAGTTACAGCAAAATGATAAGAAAATTAGTGCAACTGCAAGGTTTTAAAATCTTCTCTTTCTTTTATTTAAAAAGATTTCTTTCGATCATCTCTATTCTCAGAACTCCGTCTCAGCCCCAAAAAAAGGTAAGAACGATTGTGTTCTCTTCTCGTTTATATTACTCAAATAATATAAATATAAATAAATAATTTAATTTTGTCATGTATGTGAAAAACGGAAAGTAGTAGAAGAAGGTTTTATTATTACTTATTACCTTAAGACTTTCTATGGTGTCGATGTCGCGATAATAAACCGGTACGGTAAGCAAGGCCGACAAGTGGCTTTGGAACAGAGCGTTTATGTTGAGGAACAGAATCAACATCATGCATATGAAGATCCTGGTGGAACTAATTTTGGGTGGGTGTAAAATTCCTACGCAGATAATAAGCCTTATGACCTGTAAAGTGGCTTTCATGTATCCCTGCTTTTTCACAAATATTACGTAAGCCAGGAGACACATTATGACTATGCCCACTATCACTTCTGGCGACAAAAACTTTATCAGCTTGTGGAACTGCGAGACTTCTGGGCGCGGCTGCGCTATCACACACAGGCCCGATCTCGTATGGGGATATGTGTGCCTGGAAAACAAACATTATTTAAATATATTATTTATTTGTGTTATTATTATTTGTTAAATATTAATTTATTAATCTTTTATATTTATTATGACGAGACTATATATGCATGCACGCATCAGAAATGTAAATATAATATCGAACATCCATTAGATTTATTTGCTCGTCTTTGGCCTAATTATTTTTACGTTGTAAATATAATAATTTATTTGTACTACCTCACCTGATCTTCCACAATACAAGCAAAGTTCTCACGTTCATGCCAATGTCTATTTTGCCGTCGCTCAGAGGAGCCATCAAGCCCTCCATAGTGCCATTCGGTCCTATGCCGCCGAGCCCGTAGATACTGCCATCGAAAATATAAATTCTAAGATTCGCTCTTAGTTTTGTCAAAAGTACATGGATGATTTCGCTATTATCGCCGCGAAATTTCTCCCGACCCGGTGCGCTCAAATTGATTTTTATAAACGGTTCCATTTCGACGGCGTTCAATCGGATCTCGTAGCCATCCAAAGTGGTCACTTTATCGAAATCTAGATTTTTGCACACTTTGTCTATTTCTGAAATAAATACAGTAATTGCTGTATTAATTTTTCAGATATGGTTGACGTTTCAAAATGAGATAATATACAGAATTATACAGAAAATATTACAAGCTTTTCTGTTTTCGTACATTTAATGCATTTAACACTTGTATTTGTAATTACTCTAAAATTTATTTTTTAATCTATTAACTAAACCTGTCTATTGGGTCTTATGATGTCATAACAATTTTTTCTATCACAGCTTTTTCAATTTAATTAAAGTTTTAAATCATGTGAGTATTCAGCTTTATACATGTTTGTAAAGCTCGCGCATAATTAATAATATGTTTTAGGTCAGCATAATATTTCAAAATGTTTTTCTATTATTTATGTAATGTAAAATAATGAAGTAAAGCAAAGATTTTAAAATTTCTTTTCGTATTAGAACTTTATTAGACGGAAAAACGGTACCCTTTTCATATTTTCTTCTCAATATTATCCAAGGATGGCCCTCTCGTCCGTTGGCGCGGTCCACTTCGTCCCAATCGGCTGGCGTACTATTAGAATACGGATTATATGTGTAATAGACAATTCCATCGTTCGGATCGATGCACGGAAATATGACGGACAGCAAGTCGTATTCCCAAGCCGCCCAGAGAAATGAGCGAGCGTTTATGCAGCCTCGAGTCTCGGTCTCCTTATCGACTACAATATAAAATCCATCCGAATTCGCCCACGGCGAATCTTTCGTTCTCTGTATAGGAATGACGAAACTATTACTTGTACTTAATAAAACTGATTAACTTTTGGTTGACGGTGGCTGGGTCACGCGATGAATGTATTTGTTAAGTTTTTAAAATTACTCGTACATCTCCTTTATACATCGCAAAAATAAAAAAATGAATAAACTCAAGAACTGCTGCCTTTTTCCTGCTGTTTTATGTACTACATTTATACGCGGAGTGATTTTTTGATTATTCAATAAAATAAAAAATGATCCAACTACAGTCCTCTGAAGATTACGTTTTCCGAGAGTTAACATTAATATAAAAAAAGATCAAATTTTTCTAAAAAAAAGTTTTACTTTTGATAAGGAAATCTAAATTAGTCAAATATATTTGTGAGGAACCAGGGATACATAAAAGCCAGTTTAAAGGTCATAAGGCTTATTAGAAATTCTACACCCAGTTAAAATTTCATCAGTATCTTCTTACATAGAACTACCGCCCAAAATTAATTCCACCAGGATCTTCTTACATAGAATTAAATATAAGGTTTTATAGGATTTCAAGAAAAAAATTAAATTTTTGTAACCATTTAAAAATACTTTCAAATCTTCATTTATGTGTTTTTTTTACCTGCAAAATAGATCGTAGCATTGGTTGGGAGGACGCCACTAACACGAAGCGGTGCGATTTCCGAAGGAAATGTATGAAATGATATTGAAGGTACATTTTGAAGGAGTATCTTGTCAGGGCGAATTTTTCGAGGGCGTTGAATCGTGGATTCGTTTCCCCTATTAAAGCTACCGGTATCCAAGTGAACCATGCTCGTCTAAGAAATTCATTGTAATCTCCGCCTAGCAGTAAAGTTAGTTGGGGTTCTTCTGGGAGACAGTTGTCTAGAATTTTCACCTACAAAATTAACACAAAATATTATTTGTCTATTAAAAACAAGGTAGTCACATAGAAAGCGATCACTTTTGCATTTTTAATGAAAGTAGAAACGAATTTAATTATTTCAAGATAATATCATTATGAATATGATTCTTTATATTACCGTCAAAAACCATAATAGTTAAAACTTGATTTCATTAATTAAAACTAATTTTAAAGTTATTTGAAACGAAGTCTATGATTGTACTGTTTTATATGGGTTTTCAAATTTCTCCTCATAGTGAGGTCCACCCTTGTTTACGGCGCGTAACCAGGTCTGTAATTGTACTGTCCATATAAGTTTACGTCTAATCAATCTATCAAGTGAATTCGGATTTTAACGGATTATGGGTTTTGACGGTAATGCTCCTTAATATAATGTATGTATGCATAAATAAATCTTCTCTATAATTTAACGATCACTTTAGACACTTTCTCGGAAAACTCACCATTGCACTGACTACGCTTTTGAAGGTAAGCCTCTCCTTTGATGTGTCATTATTAAAAAGCCCGTAAGAAGACACACTTACGATTGATAGCGAGAGGAGAATGCAGAGAGATACGTTCGACATGCTATTAAAAATTTCACTGTGTGTGAAATCGTCGCTGCTCTAATGGGAAATAATCGAATGTTGGATCCGCCTTATAATATTGCTCTTTCCGGGATAAATTTTTTTAAATATTTTTATCAGCTTGATGGATCACGCTTAGATAAGCGCGTGCTATATTTTTACTTTCGTAATGCGTTTTGACATTTTCTCTTTCTCTCTCTCTCTCTCTCTCTCTCTCTTTCTTTCTATCGTCCATTTAGGCAGATAATACAGCATTGAATTTGACAAGCCGTTATTACATAAGGACATTATGATGTCGGAAGGAATAATAGCTGTAATAACGTCGTTCTTCTTCGGCGTACATGATATCATACGATAAATGAATATGTCGGTGTTGCCTCGGTGTAATAAACGGGTTAACCGGCGACAATAGAGTCTAACGTGACGGAACGGATTGAAAGATATTCGACTTCGCCTCGTTACACACTAAGTTTGTATTCATTGCATAACGATATGCTAATCCGAATGCTCTTCTTGCGAATTATATCACTTTATTTTTATGTAATCCAACTTTTACGCTCGTATCATGAAAAATGGATTTTATATCATAAAGTTGCAAGCAAATTTAATTTTAATCTTTTCCAGCTAACAGGCACACATCAAAATGACGTAAAAATTTTATTAGAAAATGACCAAAAATGATCAATCATAATGATTGAAATCATAGTTAAAATGACAGGAAAATTACTTACTAATATCACAGACAGATAACGACATTTTAAGACGTTAAAAAGATTTTATAACTATTTGGAATCTTTTAATGACATTTTAATAACGTTTTAATAACGTACAGGATTATAAAATTAAAAACCAAAATTGCATACAAAATTATTATTAACTTAGTTACCATGTTGCTTTCTATCGCAAACTTTTCGCGACATCTGTGAAGTTGGCCCCACATTTTTAAAATTTGAATCAAATAATCAAAGTTTCGATTACCCCTCGAAGGGGGGTTCTAGAGTTCTCTATCGATTTTAGAAAGAGTTCCATTGATTAAAACGATGAAAACACCATTTGAAGATATGGAGGAGCCAACTTCACATTTCTGTAACTTTAAAAATATTAACAAATGGCTTTCGTTTCTGAGAAATGATAATTTTATGGCATATTATTTTTCCTAAAATAATTACATAGTTTTGCGTTAGTAAAACTCACTTTTCTACTGCATGAATAAATATTTTCCGCTATATATTTACGTATCAATAATTTCTTATTTTTGTACGCTAATGTATTTGTACCATTATTTCTCACAGTGATCACGCGATGACAAGCGCGCTTTCACGCTTTTAACTGTTTCCGATAAAAGAAGATAATACAGCATGATATTTCAGTGGAAATTGTTACGCGTCGAAATATTACCGCTTCCTGAATTGCGCACAAAGAGAGACCGCGGTAATGTCCTGTCAAAATAAATGGAAACGTCGTGTAATATAATAATTCTGTGTTGTAAAAGCAAAGTATAATTATTATATAATTATTATCGGAGTACAAATTATAAGATTGTAAAACATTTTTCTAGCACGAAATCTCGCGTTGGACATATCTCCAACTTACTTTCTTTATTGAAAAAATATTTAAAAATTAAATATTTGACAAATAAATATTTTGAAATGAAATATCTTAAATATTTTATTGCGTTGCAGACAGCGGGTTTATGCCAATGAAGGAGTTGAATTGGCGAATTTACCGAGTGTTCGGTTCAAGGAACCCGAGGCCAAGTAGGAATCTCGACGTAACCGGAGACAGGCCGGAGTCCGTAAGAAATGCGAAACGCGGGCGGTATCGTGCGGTACCGGGCAGTTTTAATTTGTGCGACGCATGACGCGGCCACTTAGCGCGCAGCGCGAGTGAATTGATGATCGGTTAAACGCGGCGTGGCGGACCGTCGTCGCGTCGTCGTGGCGAGATGAGCGAAAACGATTCCCCTCAAAGTGGGAGGTTTCCCCACTATTCTCGCATCCGGAAAAAGACGGGCTCGCGGAAGAGAGCCTGAGCAGAGAGATGATAGTTTCGAGCAGCCGCGGTCGCAGCCGCAGGTCCGTTTTGCCTTCTCGCGGAAGGAATCGCACGAACCGATTCCACGGGGACGCGCTTCTGGTCCAGGAGGAGCGGGAACGATGCGTCGTCCGCCGGGAATCGCGCAGTGGACGTCGTCCCTGATCCTGCTGCTCGCGACGGTCCACGCAACTTCGGCGAGGCAACCGCACATTGTCTTCATTCTAGCGGACGATTTGGCAAGTTGTCTTTCAGGTTTGCGATAAATTATATCCGGTGCCCACGTCTCGGGAATGATAAATTGTTAATAAAAGCGAAATGAGAGGTTCTGTCAGGCGAGACAACTTAGCTGTTTAGCCCTCATTTATACGCGCCGATATATTCAGAATTGCGTAAAATGATATAGAGATGATGAAGAATTAGATAAAAATTGAATGAAGAATCTCGTCGCATCGATGGATTCGATATTACGCAAAGACAGGAATCTATTTAATTACATAGTATACGAGTTTTATCGGCAATGCAACGTTAGTTAATAAGTATCTTCTTTCGTCAAACGCAAACTCGTCTTGACATACGTTCTCGACATACTTTTCATATAGCAATTCAATACCATTTAAATACATATGTAAATACACATATTCGCATTTTTCTTTTATTTTTATATTACAAAAAATAATTTTTTTCTCAAATATGTAGGTAATAAATAAAATAAGATATAAATACGTAACAGGAGGGTGACACAGATAATGTACTGCAAAGGCTGCACACGCTGAAATCACGCGTAAGGGAAATGATCGGTCCGGCAGCCGAAAGACAAAGCGGGGAAAACAAATCTTGTGTTGTCGTTCCGTACACACGATTACGACTCGAGAATTATACGAAGATGCCTAAAATATACGCGATCAAGCAAATATCGCGCAAGTTCTCTTTTCTTTTCAATCATTTCTTACAAATAAAATAATAAATACAAATATTGTGTGTAACGTCTCTTCTTCTTTACAAAATACAAAATGTCGTAGACTTGCCACGTTGAGAAAACGAGATGCAGCATGAGAAAATGTTAAATTAAGATCCATTCTCAGATTAAGAACAGAATCGTAAAGGAGTATCTTAAGTAACATTTAGATTTAGTCTCATTTTCATCAGGGATGGAACGACGTCGGCTTTCACGGTTCCGGTCAAATCCCAACGCCGAATATCGATGCGCTGGCTTACTCCGGGCTGCTTCTCGATAGATATTATGTCACACCGATCTGCACGCCGTCCCGAAGCGCCCTGATGACCGGCAAATATCCCATTCACACTGGAATGCAGCATGGCGTAAGTGTTGCTTTCATAAAGTCCCTCGCGCGCAGTACTTTATCAAGAGTTTAAGCACGTGATACTGAAAACAGATATAGAAGACTCGAGCGCAAGTGAGAACAATTAGCGACGCGATTCTGCAATAAATTTACTTTTACAATACGATCGATTTCACTCGCTTGAAGCCTAAATTTGTCTCCATTTTTTTTTATACTACTGTTTATTGAAATCGCGATAGTTTACTGGTTTGTCAATTTTTTTTTTAACTCTGCCGCCGCACCTATGAATGAATAAATGCGATTGAGAGCTATATCAGCTTGGCGGAAACGTTGATGCTCTGCTTGTAGCTGCGTACAAAAGGGGATATTGTGCGATCGTACCTTTGCCGTGTTGACCTAGATAGTTCAAATGGAAATTATCATACTAGAGCGACAGACCGTTGCTACTTTATTTGCATACGCGTTTTCAATACTAATTACGCATGTAGTCACATACAAAGCCGACAAAAGACCGCGTGGAGTTCACGGTCAGTTGTTTTTACCATCGCGCAGACAATGGACATTAGACAAATAATGCGTCTCGCAATTTTTTAATTCGTGTAAGATAACGTCGGAAATAACAAGCGTCTTCCTAACGCTCTAAAAATCTGACAAACATTTGAGAGAGAGAGAGAGAGAGAGAGAGAGAGAGAGAGAAACAACATTTTAGATTAAATGTCCCTCGTTACGGCCGGCACGTTTTTTTAATCGAATTCGCCGAAAAGCGGCGTGTTATTATAAAGAAATTTTTGGTACAACATTTCGACTTCTGGAATAATTCAGGTTCTCAAAGGTGCGGAGCCGAGAGGGTTGCCACTTCACGAGAAACTTTTGCCGGAGCATCTGCGTGAGCTTGGATACAGCACGCACATCGTCGGCAAATGGCACTTAGGATTTTACAAAAAGGAATATACCCCGACTTACAGGGGATTCGACACCCACACTGGCTTCTGGACGGGCCATCACGACTACTTCGATCACACGGCCGTTGAAAACGTGAGCGACTAAATAAACACAGTTTTTATTGCTTAATGCGATAATGTGATAAAAAAATGCAGCCTTATTGGGGCTTGGACATGAGACGGGGCATGGAGCCAGCGTGGGACCTGCACGGTCAATATTCCACGGACATTTTTACGAAGGAGGCGGTGAGACTGATCGACAGACACAACTCTAGCCGGCCGATGTTCCTATACCTGGCCCACGCAGCTGTGCACTCCGGAAATCCTTATAATCCGCTTCCGGCGCCGGACGAGGAAGTCGCCAAGTTCACCAATATCTTCGATTACAATCGAAAACGCTTTGCAGGTAAAAAATGAGGTTCAAAGAATAAAAATTTGATTTAAAAAAAATACAAAAGAGGTTGCTGATTAAATAAAAAACATCATTATAAAGTAAAATATAAATTTCTAGGAAATGGGACGAGGTTGACAATGCAAACGCATAATTAGGCGAATAATCTCGGAATTTTCTGCTACAGGTATGCTGAGTAAACTAGATCAATCGGTGGGCAAAGTAGTTGAGGCTCTGCATAGGAGAGACATGCTGCGAGATACTATAATCATCTTCTCATCGGACAACGGTGGGCCTGCCGCTGGATTTAATTTGAACGCGGCGTCTAATTGGCCACTGAGAGGAGTTAAAAATACTGTTTGGGAAGGTAAATTTACTTTGACTATTGATAAACCAGATAATTATGTACAATTTTTTATGTAATTAAAACGTCTCGATCGACGAGCAAAATCATTTATTGACTCAGTAAGAAAATATCTTTAGAATTATTCGCAACTATATACATACTTTTTATATATTCATAATTATAGGATATCTGTGTTTTTAAGAAACCCCCGAATTATCCATGAAATTATGATTTTTATTGAATGAATTAATATCTAGCGAAGATTTAATTTAAAAACTCATAACTTTTAGAAGCTATTTTTAATTCGCGATGTCCGTAAATGAATAATCTTTTTTTATTCTGTTATTGCAGGCGGCGTCAGAGGTGCGGGATTAGTATGGTCACCCAGACTTGTGCGACGTGGCCGCGTAAGCAGGCAAATGTTGCATATTACCGATTGGCTGCCGACGCTTATAACAGCTGCCGGCGGCGATCCGTCGAACTTAACTATCGATGGCATGGATATGTGGAATGCACTTAGCGAAGATACTGAGTCACCGCGCGCCAACATTCTTCATAATATCGACGATATTTATGGCGTGTCCGCGATCACGGTCGGCGACTGGAAGCTCGTTCAAGGTAAGAGAGTTTCCATCAAGAGATCTGTATCTTTTGGGAATCACGAGGAACTTAATTCTGCCATATTTCATCTTTATTCTCTATATTTCTCGCAGAATATGAATATATGTTAATAATAATTAGGTATGATAAACATATATAGATACTGATTAAATTCAACTTGATTTTTCGTATAGGAACGACTTACGGAGGCGCATGGGATGGATGGTACGGTCCATCCGGTAGGGAATGGGTCTACGACGAGGACGGCGTGATCAGTAGTCCAACGGCACATGCCGTCGCCAGCGTGGGATTGGGCATCACCACGGAAGTTATTCGGATGCTGCGCGAAAACGCGATGATCAAGTGTCCGCCGCGGAATGACAGTCTGCCCCTCTGCAAACCGCTGGAGGAAGTGTGCCTCTTCAATGTCTATCAGGATCCTTGTGAAGACAACAATCTTGTTAAACAGTAAGTGGAGCATGACTTCGATGGAACGCGTATTATAAAATTTTATTTTATCTTAATTTGCAAACGCGATTGCTCGTAATTACATCCTGTTTCTGTAATTATGTACCGTTCCTTTTCTTTTTTGCATCAAAGGTTTCCCACGATCGTTAGGAAACTGCAGGATGAGCTGAAGAAGTTCAACAGCAGCGCGATTCTGCCTGGAAATCTTCCGTGGGATAGTAAGGGCGATCCGAATCTGTGGGATCATACTTGGAATAATTTTGGAGATTATGTTAATGTTATGGTGAACGGAGCAAGCTGTAGTCGATTCCTAGTAACTTGATTATAGTCCTGAAGAAGATGAAATCTTTCTTTCTCTTTCACGATTTCTTTTTTCTAAAATTATTTAGTTTTTATTTTTTACCTTAATATCACAATTAAAAAAATATACGTCATTAAAAATATTGTAAAAATTGTAAAAATATCCGGCAACGTTAAAGTAGAGATGTTATTTTATTTATAATGCGACGTACTGATCCTATATTTTATTGCTCAATTTGTTAACGTAATTTTACAGCAGCGCGATTTTGATATATTTAGAAAAGAAGTACATGTGTATATAAAGAACTTTATTACGAACAAATAAATCGAAATAAAAATTAAAATAGTGATATTCATTCCTTAACGTATTATCGACGAATGACGACACCTTGATTTCTGCCGTTCTTGTGTTTCCTTATAAATTTTTAATATCATAATTATATAAAATCAAGGCTGTAATATTCATCTATTAGATTCTCCTAACTGCTACATCTCCATTACTTTGGCGCATCTGAAACACGAAAGTGCTTTATATGTATGTCAATTTTCACGCTTGTTATTGTAATATCGTTTCAAAGATTAGTTAGAAGTATCAAACAAGTTTTTCAGTTACCATAGATCACAAATATTTCATCTTATTTAATTTATTATTGAAAATTATTACTATCAAAAAATATGAGGAAAAGAAACTCCGATGGTTTCGACTTATATAGCTACTGAAACAAACTTTAAGAACTTGTTCTTCTCGTAAATGTTTTACCCGCAACGAGAGGGAACCCATTCAAGTCCACTCGAGCAGATTTCCTCCTCCTTGTTGCAAGTGCACTTGCATAATTTTTCATTCCAGACCATCCCGCGCGCTTTATCACATTCTGTCCTGTTCTGGCATTCACACGCACAGTTATCTTCCGAATATACCTGATGAATATTGCAATGGTTTCTCGTCACGCTGCACTGACATCTAAAAATCACATTGTTCAACAGTGAACACAAAACGCCGTACGAAATTAATATTAATAATGCGATTTATTTGATATTTTTATGCGGTAACCATTTTCTTGGTTAAAAACGCTTCCGTTCTTTCAGTCTTCCCGAGCATGATAGCAGATCATCATATCATCAAAATGACATTAAAGAATCGTATAACTGTTCAAAAAGTGACTTTTAATAATCATTTTGATGTTATTTTGACTTATGTTTTAATAACTTATTGTTTTGCTTGTGTTCTTAGCCGCTGAAAATTCTAATTGTAAAAATTTTACTACAAAGAAATATATAAAGCTTTAATATATGCTTGAAATAAAAAAAAAGTTTATTACAAATTATAATAATGTATCTCAAAGTAGAATTAAATTATGGATTAATTTGGAAACAATCGAATGAAACATAGGATTGTACAGATTATTTATGTGTGCATTTATTCTATTATCAATCGTTAAATAATAAGTATTTGAAGGAAAAATCGCAACGGCGGAACGGAAAATTGTCTTACTTGCATTTGATGTGATCTTCGACCGCCACGTGATAACACTCGCTCAAGTCTAAGCCGACCCTTCTCACGGTGATGTTTCTTATATTTTTGCGAACCGGCATGCATGACTTATTCCTCGTGCAGGAACCGCTGCATCTCATCACCGAGGCATAATTCGGATAAAAGGTATAGCCCGATTGCGGTATTAATTTTTCTAAGGTAGGCCTTGGCATGCATATCGCCTCTTTCATCAGTTGATTTATTTCTATACGTCTCCCTACGCAGTCTAAAGGTACAATTCAGAAATTCGCTAGAATTCATTCTGTAATCAGCTATCTTTGTATCTGATTATTTGGAAAATTAATAATGAGATATAAATTCTGTTATATATGTTCAACTGCTGTTATATATTCAACTCCTCGAGCTGTTACAGTGAGCTGTTACAATGAGCAAGAGGTCAACGATTATCAATCTTTTAAGTAATAACAAAATTTCCAAGAACTTTGTTAGATTTGTTTCTTTTTTTCTTAATAGCAATACATTATATTATACCGTATAATTTCTAAAAATATAATTTTTAAATATTGTTTATAAAATCGTTGCAGATTATAAAGGTGCATTCGCTGTTAGCGGAAACAATTGTCAGTTTTTGTACAAAAATAAATTTAGCAACGTTAAAAGAAAACTTCAAATTAATACCTATCACCTCCCCCTTGTGTTCATGTAATTCGTCGTTGATGAATTGCATGCCCTCGACGTAAATCCATGTCGCTAAAGCACACAATGCCACAAAAAACTTCATGATTAGAGTACGATATCCGAAGCGCGAGTAAACTGGGATTGCTCGTAACGCGACGTATCGTTAGATGATGAAACAAAATTTCTTCCTCGTTTATTTATAGTCAGGAGGATATAGTGACGACGTGCGGTTGTGAATCTCGGTCGCAAAACTTTCCTAACTACGCGAGACAGGGAAGGAAACTACGCGGAATACCGCGAATAGTTCGTTCCACAAAAATGCGATGATAATATTTGATACTTATTACTGATTACGTAGCAAGTTAAAATATGCGTGCGTTTGATGTAAATCATTTTCATTTATCAAATTCTACAACGTTGTATAAAGCTGAAAGATGCAATTTTATTATTTCTGCGTTATAAAACATATCTCGATTTTCTTTCAATCTACCTATTTCATCTTTTTGTTATTTTCTTTTTTATCTTTTCTTTTCTACAGTCTTCTTCCAGAATATTCATTTATATCTATAATAAACAGTGTTTTAATAAAGTTGATGCATTGTAAAACATAATTAATTAATTAAAAGGGAATTACGGATCGCCATTGCACTGCACTACAATCCAGAGGATATGTAAATAATATTTGATTTTTTATTTAAACTATACATTGTTATATTCCTTGGGCCACAATTGTCGATATACGTACAAAGTAAAAAAAAGGAAAATATTGAAATTAGACATGAAATGTACTGTAGCTATCAGCTAGAACGTTAAGATAGGTCCTTCTCGGTGATCCAGAATATCTGCAACAAAAATTGAATCGCGGCTGAAGGAATAAAATTGAACGATTTATGATATTTGGATCGCGCGTATACAAAGATTAAATTTAATTTAGTGCCTCAGATTACACCATATTTCATTGCTAATAGAGATAAGAACAATTTTATGTAATAACACAGCGCTGCCGAGAAGCTTTCAAAAATTCCATATAGGCATTAAAAAATAAAAATGTTCATATTTGATTTCTCTTCGATTTATACCTTTCGCTATGCTCCACCACGGTAACGTAATATACGTCAAAAAGGCGTTCAGAGGTACGGACTGCGCTCGCTTCGTCTCTTTCCAGAAATGGAAAGTTTGGGTAAACCCTCGCATCGTCCAAAGCGGATTATACGCCCCGTCGTCCAGCTCTGAAAGGAAAGTGACATTACTAATTACATTACTAATTATAATCCCGAAGGCTTGTGGCATATCTAATATCCCGTTCGATCGACAGGACGGTCGTTTGAATACAGGAAAGACATTTAATCGAGCAATGAAACACAGAGTAAGACACAACAAGCTTCAACATCGGGAGATTGAATGCATCTTTTAATCGGATTGTTGCGAGCCACAGTGGAGCAGATGAACATGTTCGAGTGTGATATGATGTTGCGGATTGTGCACAAGAATTATGGTTGCGCAACAGCAAACAGAGTTAAACCAGGATACATCAATTTTCACTTTTACTCCGAAAAGTGTAGAGTGATAAACCTCGTCCAAAACAGTTTCTTAATCGTAGAAATCGCATTCAAGTTACACACAGAGGCAGGTCCGCATTCGCTGTAAATGAATCGTACACAGTTTGCCGTTTACTTTGAGAAGAATGTTAATGTTTGAGATGTTCCCCTCTTTTTATGACCTCCTCCAGAGAGCGAGTATCGTGAAAATGTGTGGAATTTTAATATTACGTTCACAAGACGAACTAACTAATCATCTACCTACTCTCGATGACCGTGCTTATTATCGGTGGTGAAATTCGTGATCAAAATATGTATCATTACGAGCGTCCGGCCGAAAGAGCCGCCTCCTTAGACAGACGCTTCCGGTCTCGCCGGCCTTTCGCAAACCACCACCATCACTACCACCCGCTCCGTCGCATCGCGCGCAATCACAGCCGTTGCCGTTTCACCATCCCATAAACACAGTCATTGATGGCACAGTCAAACGAATGCTTTATTGGATTCAGGTATAGCGCACGTCTACTTTACGCACAACGATTCAATGCAACAGAAATGATGATCAGTGGAGTCGCTCTCGTCGAGGGCGGAAAGGGCGCAGGGGATTATTTTTTGGGGGGAGGGGAGGGGGTGCAGGAAGGGTAGGAAAAATTTACCCTGTGAGCCGGGGCGGCGCGGGAGCTCGCACCAGTAGTAGATCGCGGTGCCGTCCGGCGTGACTCGATGCGGGGGCAGGGGGTTACCCGCGAAGCTGCCCGAGAGCGCCCTGCGACGTCGTCTTCGGGGCAACGTGGCGCTCTGCCGGCGCGTCATCGTCGCGACCACCTCGCCGTTGACGCGCGCCACGTGGTGGGCGTTCGCGTTTTTGTCTCTGATCTCGTCGTACTTGTTCCTGTTCTGCCCGTAGGCGTAGTCCTCGTGATCGGAGCCGGCGCTACGCAGACGACGGCGGCCGTCGGCCCGTCTCACCCGGAGCAGCTCGTCGTCGCTGAGCCGCCGGCCCTCGTCGTCGTCATGGTCAAGACCGTTGTGATGATTCAACAGGTGGCCGGCGCTGTACGGACGTCGTTTCCGGTTATTGTCCACCGTAGCGGTCGCCACGTCGTCGTAGCCCAGCGGCAGTTCCTCCTTGCCGTGCACCAATATCGCGCCCGCGTCTAACTTCTGCCGGACGTTGTCGTCCGTCAGGCACCGGCCGGCCGGCACTAAGATCTCGCTGCCCACCTCTATGTGTTGGTGCTGGTGGTTGTTCTGCTGATGATTGTTCTGCTGGTGATGATTGTGGAAACCTGCCGCGAGAACCACGTCGTCATTTAGACGGCGATTGCACCCGTGTCGCGACTACAAACGATCGTGCTCCCGGTCTCCTTTCGCGCTTTGTCCTCCGTGCATTTATCTAGAGCCAATTAACTCATCTCTTTCTCACAGTTACAGTGCAACTTGAAAATTTTACCGCGATGTAAGGCTTTAGCTTCATTTCAATTGAATAATTAATAAAATGAATTTAGAAGAGTTCTTCATTCGTATATATTTTTGTCAAAGCTTGTCCCAAAGACACGGAACACGATAACGACTCGGATAATTCAGGAAGAAACTAAACACACAAAGACTTCTACTATAGTCACACAAGAAGCGAGAGCGTCGGTGTCAGAGGCAGAGACAGGAGAGACTGATCGGACTGATCGTTTTCAGCGCGAACGAGCACACTCACCGTGTGTCTCGCGATAGATCATCTCCTTGCGTATCGGCGAGTTCTCATTCGTTCCGGAACGTTCCCGGGCATTACGTTGTCGTTGCTTGTTGTGGACGGGATGTTGTTGTTGTTGTTGTTGTTGTTCTTGTTGCCGAGCTGACGACGATCTTCGTCGACGGAACGAACGGGGACTCCTGCGGTTTCCCGGTGAGCCCCGGCCGCCCCAGCTGCTATCCTGTACATCGGCTACAAAGGAAAGAGCCGGCATGGCACGTGCCAGTGATTAGAGACAGCAAGTAACTCTTTCGTTTGTTCGTTCAGTTTAGTTTTCTGTCATCTTTCGCAACAGATGCGACAACATTCGAACCGGAAGTTAAAGTGTATTGGTGGTAGTAGTAGTAGTAGTGGTAGTGATGGTGGTTATAGTGATGGTAGTAGTGGTAGTTGTTGGTGGTGTCGATAGAGGTAGAACTGAATCTATTCTTTTCTCTTGTATTTCAATATATCTCTTTCGCTAATTACTATTAACACTGTGCTAGTGCTACGCTAAGTTTGCCCGAAAGGTCGCAAACTCTGAACACCGACCGATCTAGAGGCACAATCAAGAAACGTGACACCCGTTTCGAATAGAAGATTTTCTCATTAAGATGCAGTCGAGCCGTTTAGGCTGCGTTTATGCTGGAGCAATGATAAACGATAAGAGCGGCGATACTAGCAAAGCAGCGAAAATAAACATATTGATTTCCGTGTGCTTATATATTGAAGCGTGCAGAGCGGGGCTTCCCAGTTGACCAGCGATAAGAGCGTTGAAAAGAAAAAGAATTGTATTTCTACGCTTTCATCGATTACAGCAGTGCTGTCCAGGATTTGTAGTTTTAAATTTTATATTATGCTTTTATATGCATCATTTCATGTATATTCATATTTATATTGTATAAATGGTGAAACTTCCCCCGAAATTTATAAATTAATATCGTTCGGTTTTAATGTAAATAGAATATTGACGTTTTTTTACTACCATTTTCCAAACTACTATTTCGCAGTATTCTAAGATATTAATAATTCTTCTGAATCATTTATTTTCGGAGATCCACCTCTGTTAAAAGCTAGAACTATACCTACTACAATCACAGCTCCATTATAAACATCAAAGAAAGATAGATTTGATCAAGTTTCTATCGCCGCTCTTATCGCCGCTCTCACAGTCTTTATCACTGTTCCAACATAAACGCATCCTCCGTCGTAAAGAAATAAACGCCGAGAACTTCCGGGGCACGAATCACAGTAGAAATCTCCCTTTTAACGTATCCATGCGGTCGCTTTCTATCGCGCTCTAATGCTCTAACAGTTATGGTTCACACCTTCGAAACTATTTAGATCTATCAGCTTCAAGTTCTATACTGCCAGAGAAGAGAGAAGTGTGTTGCCGAGAGGAGGAGGCGTCTGCCTGATAACATCAAGACAATTGTGCATTACACAGGTACAACACAGGAGCATGCACAGACCGAGAGTGGATGCGAACGAAATACATTGAGAATTAAGAGAAAGATACTAAACGCCGTGTTCATATCCCATATATTTAACGCTACCGTATATAAACCGCCAAATAGATCGTCGTTTGAATTTCTGAGCGCTGAATTTTCGACACACGCAACGACTCTCATTTGTCCGTGTTAAACGCATTAAATGCAGGATATGAATACCGGTCTAACAAGTGTAAAAACTATTGTAAAAATCTAAGAGTAAGATATATCTGTATCCTCGATTTCGTCTGTATTGTCGTCACTCGATAATTACCGTCTCGAACGTCACCGGCCTCGATCTCGCTTAGCCCGTTCGCCATCGAGTCGAGGCCCTCGTTCTCCGATCGCGCCTTAGTCGCCGCCGTGTCCGGCTTCGTTCTCCAGCCGCCGCGCACGAAGTTGTTCAGATTCGCGCTGGGATCGGACAGCCTTCGTTGGTGGCGGTACATGAAGAGCTCCTCGGCGTCGTCCCAGTCGGCGTCCCACAGGTCGGTCGCGCAGTAACCCGGCTCCGACGTCGGCGTCTCCGCGCCGGAACCCTTCGGCTTCGTCACGGCCATCTCCGCGTGGCCCTTGCCTGAAGGATTCCCGTGAATCGTACTTTCATCACATCGTATCGAGCTCTTATATTCTTTGCGTCTTGCCGTGTATATCGATAAATATAGAGATTCTATTTTTCGTTCTTTTGCGCAAGCCATTACGTCATGTTAAATTATAAAGGTGAAGCGCATTCTCGCATCGACACGTCCTACGTCGATATTTTACGCTTCTAGATTATTTTAATAATGAGCTATCTTTTTTTTTCACTCATATTCTATTTGTGTCATTCGCGATTTATTATGTATAAAATGGATTATTGTTAAAATTATATAAATTAATTAATTAAAAGGAAGTCGATCCTCTCTTTTTTCTCTCTTTCTCCCAAAAGACAAATATGAAATTCTCTCACGTACCACGTGGTCCCTTCATTCGCACGAATTCTATTCTTTGCGAGGCCGCGCCGGAGAAAAGGCCGAACGTCATCCGCTGCGCCATTTTGGTGCTCAGACTCGACTAAAAGTAAAGAGACCGTAATTTCACATACATAAATTTAACGATGCACAAATTCAACAAGCCAAATAGGCACACTCACTCTGGCGTCGTAAACTTTTTTCAAAGCGTCGTATCTGATAGAGCCGAGGAAAATAACGCCCTGAATCGCGCCTTCCCGATCGGAGGCGACCAGCTCCACGCACACCATCTCCCCGTCCCTGACTAAAATATCACAGAAAACTTCGTCGAAATTGTCCACCATGAAGCATATGTGTGGATACGTCATTTCCTCGAGGTCACCCTTGGCGTCCATACGCCGTCGGCTCGGACTGGCGTACACTTTCTGGGAATGTCGTCGCAATACCTGAAAGGATCGGATTCAGTCAGTTCTACAGTAAGGCGGCATTGACGAATGTAAAATGAATGACTGGAATTAAACGCGATTATAATAAAGATGGCATTATTTCATATTCAAATATTCGAAAATAAGAAGGAAAAAAAAATAAAAAGAAAATATAATCGACACATGTTTAGGTCCGTTAAAATAAAATAAAAAAATCTTCTCTATAACTCGGCCGAGTGTCACGATTCTCACTTGCAATTCCTTGGGGCTCGTCCTCGTGCAGATCGCCAACGTGAGCGTGTAATCGAACTGGTGCACGACGAGATTCAGGTACACGGTTTCCTCCCAATCGATGTCGGGATCGCCGATCGGCAGTTTCTTGCTGTCCTTGCGAAACACGTCGACCTCGGTTTCGAACTTGGGCAGATACCTCGACGAGGTCTTCACATGCTTCTTGCGGACGAAGAAGAGCAGGTCGTCGCCGTCGATAGCGTGCTCCGCTTGAAAGAGGAAGTGACGGACGAACAGGTCCGTCCAGTACGTTGTGCCTTGCAGCATGACGAATCCGGAGTCTGGTGAGGACGAGAGAATTTGCGTGTTTAAAGTGATGGCGGCACGAATCAGTTCAAAAATTCGGAATCGGGATTTGCGGTTTTAATTTCTCGAGTCGACGCGACGTTCGATTATAGTATTGAATTCACCCCCGACGTTACACATGAAAGGATACACCTTAAAGAGACAGACATAATAACGAACGTAAGAGGTGGAAAATACCAAGTAATCGATGTCTGTTATAACGCGATAAGAATGGTCCAGTTAAGAAACTGAGCCGCGCGAATGATTGATACGTCTCTTTCCTTCTACTAGTTGTTTACTTTCTTTTGTCCAATCTCTACATTCTAACAGATACTTTACGTATTAATTGTTGATTATAATATTTGAATAAATGATTGATAAATAATGTTGAGTATTCATTTAAATTGAATACTCAACATCCATTTATTTAAACATTTTTAAACCTGAAAAGCAGTAAGAGTAAAATAATGTTCCTCATTTCGCAAGTAAGAAGTTGTGCGATTACATAAAAAAAGTACAAGTGCAAATTAATATGAGAGTAATTTAAAATTTTTTAATTTGCTGAATATAATACGGATGTGTATTATATTCACATATAACAATATAATCTAATGTTTCTCTAACATAAAGATAAGGAGAGCAGAAATGATGTGATTCACGGTGCGTATATTTATTTTACAATCATAAACTTGATTATAATTCATGATGATTGCATTCATCATTCTGCAAGTTTTCCTCTGACTCTAACAAAGTACACAGTTAAAACAACATATCTATTAATGTCTCTGTCAATAATGAAAACAAGCAAATGAAATGAAGCGGTTTTCATTATTGGAGCATTCACAGAGATGAAGCCATTACGTAGCGCTAAACAAGCCTCTTAGGAAATAATTGGAAAGTATTTTTAAATTGTCCGTGTATCGTTAAAAATTATTTTGAGCTCTTTCCATCTTTCTATGTTATTTGATAAATTTTCAAAGTCCAAGATATCAAGACAAATAATCGTGATAAAACAATTAAACTTAAATTACTTAAACTTTACCTATTCATATCCACGGAATAAAATTTGAAAGAAGTAGATTTAAAAGTGTTTGGTATATAAACAATAATAAAGTTGTGCGAATAGCTATTTTTTAGCGTGAGAAAAATGTTGTAAAGTTTTAAAATAATAAAAGATTAAGAAAAGAAGGCTCTCTTTATTTATTTGAAAAAGAAGAAATAGGAACAATTTTATTTCTTCAAAAAACTACATCTTTTCCAAGCGAGACGTTTCCCCATCGTCGGTCAACCCCTTCGAAAAAGAAACACCCTTTACATAATTCGTTGGTTACAGCACACCCTAACTCGGCCTGTGTACGTCCTCACCCTCACCCTCACCCTTAGCGTACGCGTGCACGCACACACTGTCATCCCCCTCTAACTCGACAGACACACAGCTTTTACTCCGACGAATACGAACCATCCTTGAGCATCTGCCTGAGCTCTTTCGTTCTCTGGAAATTGATCTCCTCGAGCAGCTGCTCCAGCATCGTCGGGGCCCTGGTGAGGCCCGCCGAAGACGAGCTGCTCGCCAGGCTCGCCATGGCCGACAACGAGCCCCGTCAGTCTTCCCGCCTGGGGTTCGCCCCACGTTCCTCTCGCGTTTGTCACTCGTCGGCGTCTTCCACCTGTGTGCGTCTGTGCTCGCGAACGTGAACGTCCTTGGCCCCGTCAGAAGCGGCGCACACGGAGCGACGGGCGGCGGTGCCTCTCTCGAGGGACCGGCCGCGGCGGCGCGTCGCGCTTGGAGAACGCACTCCGGCCGATGACGGACGGCTGGCGATGAGACGAGGCGGTCTCACGACGTTCCCATTGCGAGATTGAAATTGCCGCACCGATTCTCGGAGAAAACGCAAGCGGCGTTTACGATGTTTGCGTCGTAAGACTGCGAGCGGGGACGGTCGCGGCGAGGAGAAACGTCAAATCGAAGCTCCTCGCGCGGCGCGGCTCGGCCGCGACTGACCGAGCGCTCGTCGTGGACTTTTGTCGATAATGCAACGCATGCGTATTATATGTCCCTCACGCCGTGACTGTCATTGTTGTCAAGGCGCGATATTCGAACGACACCCGGTATAAGAGCCCGGCGACGATGCCGACGCGCTCGACGCCGGCTATAAGGACTTCGATCGATATTAGACTGAAGTCCGATCGAAGATACCCTCTGCTCGCGTCTCGCGCGTCGTGAGATAAAATGAATTCTTTTTTCCTAAACGCTCTCGCTGCCTCCGTACCGCGCGATTTGTTCTGCGGTTGATGCAATTTTCCAAGTACGCTCGTTTATCAAACGAGGCTGCGAAATCGAAGAGACAGTCGATTCGCGGAGATCAACCGCGGTGATCTGGAATGACGGTCGCTTCGAGATTTCTCTCTCCGTCTCCAAGTCTAAGAGAAACCGCGGATCGTTAAAATATTTGCGTATCCTCGAACGCCGCCGCTGGCGCTTATCGTGGACGTTTCCGCGTTATCTCGTGGGTGTCGGTTAGCTCGAGGCGATACACGCTGACCCAAAACTGACCCCGTGACTCCCGATAAAATCGTCCGGAGTACTGCTTTCGTGATTCGCTGAAAACGGAGCTCACGAACATCCGCCGATCTCTCCGTCAGTGTCCGTCGGCTCGGTCAGCGAGAACATTCACGTAGCCGTCTCGTATATCCGCCGGTGAGTAATCCACGATCTCTGCTCGCGATCTGCTCGCGATCCGCGAACGGACGCGTCGCGAAGCGCGTCACGTAGGCGATTCTGTGATTAATCCGACCATGGAAGGTCGGTTATGTAATTAATATATTCGCAAACACATCGATCGCCGTTTCTCTTTCTCTCCATCCGTCTATTTATATCTCCCTCTGCACGAATTGTGAATTGAAATGAGAATCTCTTGTTCACTTCGGGCTGATCGCATTGACAAATATAATTAATCCTGTGACGTGGTTAGTGAGATTGCTGGCATTATGAAAATTTATTCTTGTTTTTGATACGGTTAACATCATGAAATTCAAATTGCAAATAATGGGATGCATTTTGCATGCATAACATTCGACGAAATCATTTAGATACATGAAATGTAAAATATTGCATGGAGCATTGATAAGTACTGCTTAATTTGCTTCTATCTGCGATAAATGGAGAAATTTTAGTACTCTTTTTATGAACAATATTATTGCTTTTTCTATTTTTTATGTGAGTATTATTTAGTTAAATGGTTCATTAATTTAAATTCATTAATTAATAATTAGAGTAAAAAGAATTGTTAGAAATTATTTGAATTATTCGAATGTAATTATTATAGAAATCGACGAAGATATATATGCCAAATAATCCCGAAAGTTCAAAGTCGACGGAGTCTCCTTTTAATTAATAGCTTGTTTCGATGAGAGTTTCGATCGCACGTTATCTCACCGTGGTTGTTAAGCAATCAGATTGACCGTGGACGAGACACCCCGAAGCGCCGCGGAGGTCTATATGCGCGTGAAAGGACCAACGGAGGCGTCATAAAAGACGCCGTGCTCCGCGACGTTTGCCATTCCGCGAATTATGTCCGAGGATCCGCTCGTCAATCGCCCGAGTTTCCGGTTTTTCTTTTTCTTCGCCAACGGTCGCGAATGCGCCTTCCGAGATTCGTCGCCCGTACGTGTTGCGCGCGTGCATATATAATCGCGCAGTGAGCAAAGTACTCTTTGTACGCATCAAGCGGACCGGAAGCGGCACGGTAAAGTATGCATATTGCGATCGCTATGAATTTAATTGACCGACTCTCTCAATGGAGCTCAGTGTTTAAGGGATGAAAGGTACTACAGCCGCGGGACACGCTTAACAAAACGTCACGATACGGGACGGTATCGATCAGCGTTCACCGCGAAGTAGCCGCGTGAATTAATTAAGAGCAACGCCGGCGCGCCGCCGTGTCTTTTACGACTAAACGGCCAGATGCAATTTTCAAGGCGGCCCGTTCGAACAACGAGGCTACCCAAAAGCTTCACGAGTTGAAATTTTAACGGATAAATCGGCCGATTCGTGCGGCCAGTTTGGACCGACCGCCGAGACAAATCAGTGATCGTCGCGTAGATGGCAACGTAGTCAAACATAATATAGACTAACGTGACCAACTTGACGCAAGATCGCGCGATCACGCACGATAATGATTTGAAACTGCTGCCGTGTAATGAGCCACGGGGACGGGCGAGCGAGTTGAACGACTATGCTCATTTATATTACGGCTCGTTAAAGTTAAAAGATGGCCAGGTCGTAAGGGGAATACAAATCGTCGCGGGCCTCTAACGGCGAGCTGTGCTTAAGGGAAGACACATATGACTCATGAAAATTTCAAGCCGCAACTGTCGCGGCAACGCTAGTAGTAGAATAACCAATTACATGACTTATTTGTGTAATGAATAATCCGTAAGAGATAAAATATTATGAAATCGTACTGGGAAAATAAAAATTCAATAAATAAATAATTAATAAATAAACAATTAATCACAAATTGTGTTAAAATATACACAATTTGCTAAACATTACAAAAATATCGCTCTATGGTAGAAATATTATAAGAAATAACCATATAAAAATTAATTATAAATCATATTTGTATAGTGGATGACTTCTTAAAAATAATAAGATTGAATATCACGAGGCTGCGTTGGTTGTTGGCTTATGAAATGGAGAAGAATGCCCTCGCGTTGGCAATATTGCAGCTAGGGAATAAAAATGTACGGTTCAATTAACTACGCGCGTTTATCACAGGCACAATTTGCTAAAGGTGAAGTATTACAAAATTTTTATAATGCCTGATATACGTGACAGAAGGGAAAGGGATGATTTACATTTATTGCATGTCTGGAAAAATGAAAAATGATCGAGTATAAAGATGCATTACGGACCGTTATCCACGAGGATATGCAGTAACGAAAAAAAAGTCTCATCATGCTAATACAACGATACGAATATGAAATATTTTAATGTAATGCCGTGAAGAAGGCAGAGAGAGAGAGAGAGAGAGATGCAAATTAATTAATCACACGTTTCTGACAGAGTCTGCCAAATATGGCATACAATCGAGATGTACCGTACGTATAGTTCGCCGCGCGTTCAGTGCGCCCGTATAACTATTAATTATTTCACTAATTGCGGTCGTTCGTTGTCGTGACACGCGTAAATTCACCCACGCGGCCGCGGCCGCGGGTAGGGATTTAATGGAGGGCATGAGTTCGACTGTGTGTCGTCATATATGCATCAGTTTTCACGCGTGTGTACACGCGGAGCCAGTGCAGGCTGTCGCCGCCGCCGCCGTCAAGCTACAACAATAATTTCCACGTGCAATTCACGATTAATGAATGGAATAAGCGTCCGCGGTGAAACCGTGAAAGTGAATATATATATATATATATATATATATAGATCGCTAATTATATATATCATCGCGCGCGGCGCGTGCAACATTTGGGGGAAACTGTACGAAGGCTTAATCACTGATTCAATTAGTACTCCAGTACGTAATCCTCGGCGCGGTAATTATTAATTTAATTAAATTTCGCCGAATTCTACGTGCACACGCGCGGCGTGTAGGTATACACGCGGCATTGTCGAGGGTAAAGCCAATCACCGGGCGGACGACCGGGAGAGTGAGACCTATAGAGACCGCGGCGCGCGGCGTCGAGATGCACGTGCAAGCGTAAGCATCTGCTCTTTGTTCGGATTCGCCCCTCCGCGGCGCGGCCCGGCGCGCATAACGCCGCTAATGTTAATCACCGGCCGACGAGCGAGAGCGCCTGGGTGTGGCATGACTATGGGAAATGGCAGAGGTTAGACGGGATCTGTGCGCAAACCGCGGTTGCACGCCGCCGCACCGCGCCGCGTCGCGCGGACGTTTTCGTGTTGCACGTGTGCGGTAACGTGCGGCGCGGGCACCACCGCGGTTACTCGCGGCGCACTCGGCATTTTGCACTCGCCATCGCCGATTCTCCCCCTTAAGGCTATATCATTCGCGAACGACGCTCACGCGGACCTTCGGGCTAAGACCAGGTCGGGCACGACCCACGTAATGTAAGCACGAATCTCTCGGCCTACGAGCTGCGACGCGCGCGTCGACGATCGAACGACCATCTCTTTCCCATAGATCCGATCGGCGATCTCGACGATCCGTTTTTATATTTCGAAATTCGGAATTCGCGAGTCCGCGTCGCGCTAACCCAAATCACGACAATTGCGTTATAAACGTCACTGTAATGCACAGGCGCTACGAATTATCATACGATAATAACTATCGCGTTCACATCGTGATAATTAGCGTGCGCGTTAATGAGAAATTATTCCTCTTTTACGCTTCGATTATATAACAATACCGTAAAATATAGCTCTTTTTGTTCA